CATAAACCGGCACTCAGTTGGTTTGTGTCTTTGTTACGGGCAACAGTTTTCTGGCGACCCAGATGGGACTCCAGGGGTAGCTGGGGTGGCTCATGAGTTGATCCACTCCATGCCGGCAACCAGGTGATTTCTGGGGAGACATAGACCCGTGCCCGACCCCGCGCCCGACGGACAACCATCCAGGTAAGCCGGGAGGTGCTTTATTCTTTTAGGTTTGTTGGTTGGGAGCCTGCCTATAAGACGGGACTGTGAATTTACCCGCTGGGTTGGGCAAAGATTTCATTGGGAAGCCTAGGCGCTGGTCGTAAGACGGGGTGAAAACCAAGCTGAACCAGCACTTGTCACTTGTAGTGAGACTTGACAAGTTGGTTTAGGAAGGTATTGGTTTATATTGTTTGTATTGTACTGTTTATTGTGTGATTGTACTGTGTGTATGACTATGATGCCATTTAAAACCTTTAGGGCACTATCTTGTGCAGAAAATGATATCCCTAGCAATTCTCCGCTTGGCTGTTTGTTAAAACATTGGAAGGAAGGAAATTTCAGACAAGAGTTAAGTAAGAAACAATTGATTGATTATTGTAATCATGAATGACCTCAATATGAGACAGAAGGAATGCAGTGGCCTAGGAATGGTACCTTGACTCCGGAAATTATAACCCCCTTGATGCAATATTTACGAGAGAATGAGATGTGGAATGAAATACCGTATCTAGATTTGTTTTATTATTTAAAACGTAAGACTGAATGGCAAAAAGAATGTGGTATGTTGATTTTGAAAGAACTGGATGATAAATGCATAGGATGTCAAGAGCGGAAAATACGGTTTTCAGAACCAGAGGAAGATGTGTCTTTGTTAGTCTCCCCCGGCATAACTCCAAGTGCACCCCCGAGAGATAGTCTCCCTTCACGTGTGAGGGCGCAATCACCCACCATGCCCCCCTTAGAATCGTCCTCGGATGAGGAAGAAATGAGGGGACGAGAATGTGATTATGATAGAACTCCACTAACAGAACGGACTCGGAAGGGGTGAAAAGAAAGGGGAAGGAGTAGAGAAAAGAGAGGGGGACAGACGTTTCGCCCTCACCCCCTAGATTGATGGCCCCTTTGCGGGAAGCAGTTGGAGCAGATGGGGGAAAGGTCATGGTAAAAGTTCCTTTTTCACCTAATGATTTATTAATTTGGAAACAGTCAGCTGGGACATATAGAGAAAATCCGGAGCAGGTGGCTCGTATTATAAAAATGGTTATAAAAACTCAAAATCTGGACTGGAATGATTTACAGGTATTGTTAGATACAATTCTGGATTCAACAGAAAAAGAAATGGTATTAAGAGTGATGGTGGAAAGAGCGAAAGAAAGAATTCGAACTCTACCCCGGGCGGCGCGGGGAACAGTAATTGATTTCGTACCTCGGGAAGATCCCGAGTGGGATCCAAATGTGTCTGGAGATTATAAAAAGTTAAGAATTTACCAGGAATTGTTGGTAGAGGGAGTACGAAGTGGGATACCTAAAACGTTAAACTGGTCAAAGTTATACTCAGTAAGACAGGATAAGGGGGAATCTCCTTCAGCCTTTTTGGAGAGGTTAAAAGACACAGCTTGGAAATACACAGATTTAGATGTTGAAGCTGAATCAGGAAAATTGCAATTAGCATTGATTTTTATGGGACAATCACAAGAAGACATTAGGAAAAAACTTCAGAAGTTGGAAGGTGAGGAGACAAGAGATTTGGAAAAATTATTAGAAGTAGCTTGGAAGGTGTACAATAATAGAGAAAAGGAAGCTACTAAGAAGCAGCAAACAAGCTTGTTAGCACTTTTGCAAACTTCAGGAGGGAACAATGGAACTAGTGGCCATAGGGGAAGAGGCCGTGGTAATAGGGGACGGGGAGGAATAGGTAGAGGATTTAACAACCAGTCGGGATTTGGAAATCAATATGGGGGAGGACGTGGTAGGATAGGACCAAATCAATGTGCTCTTTGTAAAAGACTAGGACATTGGAAAAACGAATGCCCATTGAATGCTGGAAATGGAATAAATCCGTGGAGTCCCCAGAGCTTTGCAAATTCGCAAAACCCTGTTAATATGGGCACGCCGCAAGGTGTCGCCCAAGCATTTATGTTAGGGAATTACCAGAATCAAAACTGACTAGACCGGGATTTAAAAGTAGTTTTAGAAGTAGAGGGAGAACCGACAGAATTTAGAATAGACACTGGAGCTAGTTTTTCGGCAATGAATAAATTGATGGGGCCATTAAGTGATTCAACTGTACGGGTGGTAGGAGTTTCAGGACAGATAGAGGAAAAGACGTTTTTACGACCTCTAGATATCAAATTTAGAGGAAAAGAATTAGATCATCAATTTTTGTACATGCCCAACAGTCCTGAATGTTTACTAGGAAGGGATTTGCTTTCAGCCTTGCAAGCTAAAATTATATTTGAAAAAGGGAGGGTCAAGATGGAAATTCCGGAAGAGAACTTAGCAAAAATTTTCGTTGTGAAAGAAGTAGAAAAGGAAGAGATACCGCGGGAAATAGAACAGGCTGTAGTACCTTGGGTATGGGAAACAGGGGTCCCTGGAATATCTAAAGCTACTATTCCAGTTAGAATAGAATTAAAAGAAGGAGCACAACCCGTTAAAGTGCGACAATACCCAATTAGTTTAGAAACTAGGAAAGGAATAGCTCCAATGATTACACAATTTTTAACTTTAGGGATATTAAAGGAATGTGAGTCAGAGTTCAATACTCCCATTTTTCCAATAAGAAAACCAAATGGTAAGTATAGGTTAGTGCAAGACTTGAGAGCAATAAACCTCATCACAAAAGACATCCACCCGGTTGTAGCTAACCCTTACACCTTGTTAACATCTGTTTCTGAGAGATTTCAGTGGTTTACAGTGATTGATCTGAAGGATGCCTTCTTCTGCATACCATTGGCACGGGAAAGTTGGAAAATTTTTACCTTTGAATGGGAAAACCCAGAGACTGGACGGAAGCGACAGCTTACGTGGACTCGATTACCGCAAGGATTTAAATGTTCACCTACGATATTCGGTAATCAGTTAGCAAAAGAACTTGAAGAGTGGAAGACTACACAGGTAAAGGAATCCCCTTTTTCATATATAATACTGCAATATGTAGATGACATCTTCCTAGGGGCTACAGAACAAGGACTCTGTCGTCAGTTAACCATTGAACTGTTAAACATGTTGGGACAAGCAGGCTATCGGGTCTCAAAAGAAAAGGCTCAATTAGTAAAACAGAAAGTTATCTATCTGGGGTGCGAAATTTCTCAAGGAATTCGACGCTTAGGAACAAATAGGGTTCAAGCAATATGTGCTATCCCTGTGCCCCGAAATAATCAAGAACTAAGATCTTTTTTAGGAATGGTCGGGTGGTGCAGACTGTGGATTCCCAACTTTGGACTAACTGCCAGACCCTTATATGAAACAGTAAAGGAGCCCAAGCTGACCTGGGGGACGAAGCAAGAGAAAGCGTTCCAAGAACTGAAAAGAGCCCTCCAGGAAGCACCTGCCCTGGGACTACCGGACCTAACCAAGGAATTTCAGCTCTATGTCTGCGAGAGACAACGAATGGCTTTAGGAGTACTCACTCAGCAATTAGGATCCTGGAAGAGACCGGTTGGGTATTTCTCCAAACGGTTAGACGCAGTAAGTGGGGGATGGTCGGGGTGTCTCAGAGCTGTGGCAGTGACGGTTACTTTAATACAAGAAGTACGAAAATTGACTCTGGGAAAACACATGGTAGTGTACGTGCCCCACATGGTCATAGCAGTTTTAGAACAAAAAGGGGGGCATTGGCTCTCATCTAGCCGTATGTTACAGTATCAAGTTTTGTTAAGAGAGCAAGATGATGTTGAACTGAAAATCACTAACCATCTCAAGCCAGCAGAATTCCTTAGGTCTACACAGGAAGAAGGTATCCTGGAGCATGACTGTGTAGAGACCATTGAACAAGTCTACGCGAGCAGAAGAGACTTGAAAGACGAACCATTGCCAGATCCTGACTGGGAGTTGTACACCGACGGATCTAGCTTTGTGGAGAATGGCACCAGGTATGCTGGGTACGCAGTGGTCACTCTACAACAAGTGATAGAAGCAAACGCACTACCCCCAGGTACGTCTGCACAAAAGACCGAAATATGGGCATTGGTGAGAGCTTTAATATTAAGCCAAGGAAGGAGAGTTAATATATGGACTGACTCCAAATATGCTTTTGGGGTAGTTCATATTCACGGAGTACTCTGGAAAGAGAGGGGACTTCTTACTTCTCAGGGGTCAACGATTAAACATCGGGAAGAAATTTTACAATTATTAGAGGCAATACACAAGCCCTCAGCAGTGGCAATAATGCATGTCAAAGGACATCAGACTGATCCTGGACGGGAATTTCAAGGTAATCGACAGGCTGACCAAGCGGCTAAACAAGCCGCAAGAGAAGTATGGACTCAGATGGCTCTTTTGCCCGTTCGAAATAATCCAGCAATAGCATATATGGAAGAAAAACCACATTATTCACAGGAAGATGAGAAATTAGCTCAAATGACAGAAGCAAGGAAAAATGTTAAAGGGTGGTATATTTCCCCCACAGGACAAGTGATTCTACCTGTCAGAATAATGAAAGCAGTACTCGAAACGGAACACAATAAGTGCCACTGGGGTGCAGAAGCAATGGTAAAATTTTTGAAAAATGAGGTTCTCTCAAACCAGATGTTAACATTAGCAAAAAGGATAAATGCAATGTGTCCCATGTGTATAAAAACCCAGTAGTCAGAAAGCAGGTACAGATGGGAAAATTACAGATAGGACAATTACCAGGAGATTATTTGCAAATAGATTTTTCTGAGTTGCCTAAGGCCCAATCCTATAAGTATTTGTTAGTATATGTTTGTACCTTTTCAGGATGGCCAGAAGCCTTTCCATGCAGGACTAATCAAGCAAAAGAAGTAAAAACTCTCCTGAGAGAAATTATTCCGAGATTTGGGATACCTCTAGGGTTATCATCTGATCGAGGGTCACACTTTACCGCAGGGATAGTGCAAGAAATATCTGCTGTGCTAGGAATAGCGTGGAATCTCCATACACCATGGAGACCGCAATCCAGTGGACAGGTAGAGAGGATGAATCAGACGTTGAAAGGTCAATTAAAGAAAATCTGTCAAGAAGCAAAAATTCAGTGGCCCCAAGCACTACCACTTGCCTTGTTGAGAATCAGGATCAAACCCAGGGAGAGAATAGGAGTAAGTCCATACGAAATATTGTATGGCAAGCCCTATCATGCAGCTACCTATCAAGGGGATCCTCATGTGGTGGGGGATCAAGCAGTGTTTAACTATGTGTTATCTTTAAACAAAACTCTCACAGCCCTCAGAGGAGCACTGCAGTGGAATCGGCCTCTACCCCTGGAGAATCCGGTTCATAACATTTCTCCAGGAGACCAAGTCTATGTGAAAAACTGGTCGGTGGAACCATTAAAGGAAACATGGGACGGTCCTCGTCAGGTGATAATGACCACTTACACGGCGGTGAAGGTCGAAGGAATCGACAATTGGATCCATTACACCCGAATCAAGAAGGTTCCAGTCTCGTGGTCAGTAGAACGTCTCTCACCTACAAAGATGGTATTTCGAGCCAACCGTTGAGGATCGTAGTATTCCTGGGGTTGATAAGTTTAGCAGAGACCACCGTGAGAATTGAGACCCCGGATCCTTATTTATTTGTACCAGAGTACACTGATGTGAATTTAACCTGTCTATTTTCTGATGACCAGGGAGCTGAATTAAGAGATGTTAACGTCAAGTGGAGATGGAGAGATCAAGATCAAATCATGACAGAAGGAGTGACAACAGTTTGGGATGCTACACAACAAAAAGGTTATACCATTCTGCAGGTACCCAAAGTGTCTAAAGCTATGGAAGGAACATATATGTGTGTAGTTTGGATTTGGGAAAGTTTTGATTATGGACATATAGAAATACGGACAATAAACACGACTCAGAAAACGGTGACCAAAGTACGAGTTATGCCCACTAGGAAACAATCAGACATGTGGGATGGTCCTCCCTTAAAAATCAATTGTACCTTCCAATTTGATGATTGTCAAAAATCAGTTAAAGTAAAATGGTGGAAATTGAACATGGCAAATCAGTTTTGGGAATCACAAAGTCAAGGAGTTAACTGGTGGTCAAATAGTAAGGGAAGTAAAGGGTGGCTGAATATTTCTAATCCCAGAGTAGGAAAAACAGAAGGTACATTTCTTTGTGTGGTCTCATGTGGGGAAGAAAAAGATTACGGGGTAAGGACAGCAGTAGCCGTACCACATCAAGGAGTAAGAGTCAGACCAGAACACAGTGTTTACCCGACCCAGGAAGGAAGAGATCTGATTCTAAGTTGCAAAATTCCAGAAGGACAGTATTCTGAATATGGGTGGTGGTTTAAGGGACAGAACTTGAAAGTCGGGAAGAGACATCAGATTGAAAAGAGGGCAGATGCAATAGTTTTGAAAATCAAAGAAATACGAAGAGGAGAAGATGAGGGCCAATATACTTGCTGGATAAGTAGAGATGACTGGTGGGATACTGGAATCACTGCCGTCTACATAAGGACTGAAAGAATAACCCGGCAAGTAAGTAACCTGCAGATTCCAGATAGAGAAGTAGAACAAGAAAACCTAGTCGTAGACCTAATTCGTGATTTTGGGAGAGTACAGAATGTCACAAAAATCACTGCATGTCTCCCTATGCCTCATGCTGCAGGAGACCCAATCCCATGGGGAATAATTCCAGTGCCAGAAATTCCTAAAATGTTTAAAAACACTACATGGAATTGCAGATTTGTAACCAAAACATGGAATGAAATGACTGATGCATGTTTATTAAGGGACAAAATGACTAAAAAACAATGTGAACAGATGCCTGGATTTTTCCGATGGGTAGTAGTTGGAACATGGGTAACAAGCGAAAACATTAACAAATTAAAGGGATCTTGTTTAGTTATAGATTCAGTAAAATACCCATGTTCTAAAGTTCCAGCTCAAATAAAACGAGAAAAACAAGAAGAAGTATGTCAAAATATTACTAGCTCTACAACCATGGAAGAGTGGCAAACAATTTGGGGACCCAGTCTGTTAGAGACTTATAGTTATATTGGAAAAGTACAGTGGTGTATTCACTGGAAAGGGAAAAGGAATCAAACTTATTCTACAGGAAATAGAGGAAATCATAATTGGAGGACAGAAACACATACAAAGGAGAATTGGAATTGTACTCGAATATACACATGTGATACCCCAGACAATGAAATAGGTTTAATACCAGTCAAAACACTCTTGCAGTTAGGATGTGAATGTCGAGGATATAATCATACTATTAAGGGATCTGTGAAAAACATTGATTGCCGTACCACCACAGTTAGGAGTCCAGGAAATTTGGTGTGGGTAATGGGGCATGGCCAGTGGACCACCCACATGCCAATAGATGGTCCGGTTGTACCTGTCACACTAGGGATACCTACTCTCTGTCCATTCTGGAAGCAGGATAAGTTAACATCAGTAGAAATACAACCACGAGGAAAAAGAGAAATTAGTCAAAATATTGATGACTTGGGGTTGGGAGATTGGCATGAACCATCAGCAGGAGTTAAATTTGGATGGGTATTAGAATCTCTGTTTACACCAATCTCAACATACCGTAACAGAGAGATGTTGTTTAAATTAATGGGACAAACTGAAAGGTTAACAGCAGTCACTAAGAAAGGATTTAAAGATCTAAATTTACAATTACAAGCCACCTCTAGAATGACCATACAAAACCGCATGGCATTAGACCTGATATTACTTAAGGAACATGGAGTTTGCGGCTACCTGCATGCAAAGAACGAGCATTGTTGTGTACACATCCCAAATGTCACTCAAGAAGTTGAAAAAGACATTAATCAACTTGAACAAATTGAAGGAAATGTCCATGAAATCCAAAAGGAAGCGGAGCACAATTGGATAGGAGAATTATTCAGCTCCCTAGGTCTTCATGTGTCAGGATGGATATCTTCTGTTATCCAGTACGGAATATTGATTGTAATAATTATTGTCATAACCATAACTGTCTATAAGTGTCTTTTAGGAATGATTGTAAAAGAGGGTCAACATACGAGACGCATCATGAAAGCTATAACAAGAAAAGAAGTAATCTCACCGCAAGATGGACCACCCCCTGCCTATCAAGAGACTGCAGCCTGAAGATAGCTACATTTGAGCATCCTTGCAGGCAAAGCCTGAAGAATGCTCAAAAGGGGGGACATGTTACAGAGCAATTTAAATTTAGTAGTAGTAGAATGGCTAAGGCTTAGTAAGAGAGTAGGCCTAGAAAGCAACACTCCAAAGTAGTAAGTTAGCAACCTTGTTTGTGAGTATGGAATGTGCTGTAGAAATGGAAACAATAATCAAAGGATTTAGTCAAGCATGTATAT